CTTCTAAGTTATTTCTTGATTCTAATGCTTTGGCATGAGTTAAACTGACAAGGAGGCTGTCCATAGCCCACTTCATTGGCATAATAATAAAAATAAATTCATTTTAAAATCTCCTATTAAGTCAAAGGAGTTTAGGGCAGCAAATACTTTTTGAAGGTGTGAATAAACATTCTTAAAAGACCATTTCATTCCTTTGGGCTAATAATTATTATATAGAAAGTAATAGTTATTATAAAAAACAATTATCTTTAAAAAATAATACAATATTAAAAAAATTATTCCAAAAAATATCTATTGCCTATCTACTATGAGATGGACACTGGTAAGTGCTGAAGTTAGAGTAAAAACAGACCCACTTTACCCTCATGGTACCCACAATAGCATGGGTCACTAGCCACCTATTTACAAATCATCATAAAAATGCTTTTTACCTTAGCACAGATTGCTCTGTGTAATGTAATGGATGCCAGTGATTATACAGTGGAAGCGACAAACAGATTCAAGGGATTAGCTCTGATAAGACAGAGTGCCTAAAGAACCACGGATAAAGTTCACAACATTGTACAGGAGGCAGTGACCAAAATTACCCCCTAGAAAAAGAAATACAACAAGGCAAAATGGTTGTCTGAGGAGGCCTTACAAATAGCTGAGAAAAGAAGAGAAGCAAAAGGCAAAGGAGAAAAAGAAAGACATACCTATCTGAACACAGAGTTCTGAAGAATAGCAAGGAGACATAAGAGAGCCTTAGGTGAACAATGCAAAGAAATAGAGGAAAACAACAGAACAGGAAAGACTAAAGATTTCTTTAAGAAAATCAGAGATACTAAGGGAACATTTCATGCAAAGATGGGCACAATAAAGGACAGAAACGGTATGGCCCTAACAGAAGCAGACGATATTAAGAACAGGTGGCAAGAATACACAGAACTGTACAAGAAAGGTCTTAATGACCTGGATAATCACGCTGGTGTGATCAATCACCTAGATCCAGACATCCTGGAATGTGAAGTCAAGTGGACCTTAGGCAGCATCACTATGAACAAAGCCAGTGGAGGTGATGGAATTCCAGCTTTCAGGATTTTTCATTTCAGGATATTTCAAATCCTAAAAGATGATTCTGTGAAACTGCTACACTCAATATGCCAGCAAATTTGGAAAACTCAGCAGTGGCCACAGGACTGGAAAAGGTCAGTTTTCATTCCAGTCCCAAAGAAGGGCAATGCCAAAGAATGTTCAAACTACAGCACAACTGCACTCAGATCATGTGCTAGCAAGATCATGCTCAAATTCCTTCAAGCTAGACTCCAACAGTATGTGAGCCAAGAACTTCCAGATGTAAAGTGGGATTTAGAAAAGGCAGAGGAATCAGAGATCAAATTGCCAACATCCACTGAATCATAGAAAAAGCAAGGGAATTCCAGAAAATATATACTTCTGCTTCACTGACTACAATAAAATCTTTGACTGTGTGGATCACAACAAACTGGAAAATTCTTAAAAAGATAGGAATATTAGACCACCTCACCTGCCTCCTGAGAAGTCTGTATGCAGGTCAAGAAGCAACAGCACTGGACATGCAACAATGGACTGGTTCCAAATTGGGAAAGAAGTACATCAAGGCTGATATTGTCACCCTGCTTATTTAATTTATATGTAGAGTACATCATGTAAAATCCCAGACTGGATGAAGCTCAAGCTGGAGTCAAGACTGCTGAAAGAAATATCAATAGCCTCAGATATGCAGATGACACCACCCTAATGGCAGAAAGCAAAGAGGACCTCAAGAGTTTCTTGAGGGTGAAAGAGGAGAGTGAAAAGGCTGGCTTAAAACTCAACATTCAAAAAACTAAGTAAGTTCATGGAATTCAGTCCCATCACTTTATAGCAAATAGTTAGGTAAAAAATGGAAACAGTGACGGACTTAATTTTCTTGGGTTCCAAAATCACTGGGGACATGACTGCAGCCATGAAATTAAAAGATGCTTGCTCCTTGGAAGAGAAGCTAGACAGCATATTAAAAAGCAGAGACATCACTTTGCTAACAAAGGTCCCTATAGTCAAAGCTATGGTTTTTCCAGCAGTCATGTACAGATGTGAGTGCTGGACCATGAAGAAGGCTGAGTGCCAAAGAAACAATGCTTTCGAACTATGGTGCTGGAGAGACTCTTGAGAGTCCCTTGGACTGCAAGGGGATCAAACCAGTCAACCCTAAAGGAAATCAACCCTCAATATTCACTGAAAGCACTGATGCTAAAGCTGAAGCTCCAATACTTTGGCCATCTGATGCGAAGAGCCAACTCATTGGAAAAGACCTTGCTACAGGGAAAGACTGAAAGCTGGAGAAGGGGGAGACAGAGGAAGAGATGGTTGGATGGCATCATCAACTCAATGGACATGAATCTGGGCAAACTCCAGGAGATAGTGAAAGACAGGAAGCTTGGTGTATTGTAGTCGATGGGGTCACAAAGAGTCGGATACAACTGAGTGACTGAACAACAACAAATGGATGCCAGCTACACCCTCTCTTCCCCAGACAGGCATGCTGCTGCGGCTGCTGCTAAGTCACTTCAGTCATGTCCGACTCTGTGCAACCCCATAGACGGCAGCCCACCAGGTTCCTCCATCCCTGGGATTCTCTAGGCAAGAACACTGGAGTGGGTTGCCATTTCCTTCTCCAATGCATGAAAGTGAAAAGTGAAAGTGAAGTCGCTCAGTCAAGTCCCGACTCTTTGCGACTCCATGGACTGCAGCTCACCAGGCTCCTCCATCCATGGGATTTTCCAGGCAAGAGTACTGGAGTGGGCTGCCATTGCCTTCTCCCCAGACAGGCATACAACCATAAAAATTTGAACATAATTTCTGAGTTTCATAGGTTCTCTTATCTGCGAAAAGGTCCAAGAACCAAAAGTTAACAACACTGACCTATTTCTACAGCTACATAGACAAAACAATAAACAAATTCAAGATCATAAAAGTCTATATTCTTTTTGCTTGTTAAGGAAGTATAGATTCCCAACAGAAATGATTAGAAATAAAGGTCCATCATTTAAAGGATTAAGCTCTGTCTTTTTGAAATTTCATTCACCTAAAGTATCTCCTTCCAAACAATATTCTGGATAAGTGAGGTCTGCCTACCATTCCTTTAGTAAGGCTGCCAGTTAAATCACTCTTCTTACTTGAAAACTATTTGCATATGAATGACTGCTTCAGTTTCACAAGTAAACCTGCATTTCATGACTCATCCATTTCACACCAAATAGACCCTGTTAGCCATGACAAATACATGTACATACATATATCTGAACAAGCAGCTCGAACAAAGCAAAGTGTACAAGTTCCAGAATTTGAGGGCACTGACTCATCTCCTGACTCTTAACATTTTACAGCGAAGCGAACTGGGACAAGTCATCTAACCCTCGGAACTTTGTTTATTCATTTGTAAAATAGAGAGGGGATGATAAGAGTTACCTAAGAGTGCTACTATGAATAATCAATCACATAAAACAATGCAGGTGAAAGTATTTAGATATAAAATGGGCAAAAGTGAGTGAAAGAGCAGATTGCTTGGAGTTGCTCACAAAATATCAGACATTCAGAGATCCTCTGGAAAGAGTTGCTCATATAACATCCTTAGAGGATCTATCCTCTAGAGTAAACCTCTAGAGTAAAACAAATTGTCCTTAAATTGCTCAAGGAATTTTGTTTTGACTGAGTGCTCAACAGTAAAGTTCTTAAAAGTCTGCAAAAGGTTTTGGAATCCTTATAGTGCATAAATGTATTAATATTCTCAAGGCAAGAACATGAACTAATTAAAAAATTCAGTGTTGGTTCCATAGTCAAAGTCCCTTTTACAAGACATTTTCTAGAGAGCAGAGATTCTTTCACTTACCTTACTAAAAAGGATAACTGGATGTATACAAAAGATTTTAAGCAAATTAGTTCATCAAAACTGAACAAATCAATGAAATCAATCTTCTTTGGTGGAAAGGGTATTTATTTTAAAGGAAATAAATAATATTCAGTCTGAAACGAGTTTTCCAGCCTATTCCCCACTGAAATGCACAATAAGCCATGCAAAGGATAACTTTTTCTATGTTATTTCATTTACATTTACAATGTTCATTTACATTATCCTAATCACTAAGTTTAAGGCGATTCTCATTTAAAATGTGAATTAAACAACTTTTTGGTACTAAGGAATCAATCATTACACGTTATGAAAGTTCATGAACAAGACCTAAAGAGTGATTTGCGCTGGTGCTAGAAAACAGCCAAAAGGCAAATACTCTTGATTTCTAAGCCCCTAGTAAGCAAAGGCTCTGTTGGTTCCCAAGAAGGCTAAGTAAGTTCTGACTCCCCAAAAGTCATTACACAAATGTCTACAACGGAAACAAAACGAATGTCCTGCGTTTACGTAACACTTTCAATCTAAGAAATTCAAAGCACTTGATTGTAGAATTATTTAAAAGAAATGTATCCTCTCCCACTTTAGGAAACCAAATACTACTATTCTGAGAGACCTTAAATCTGTTGCCAAATCAGATACCAAATGGGTAGGAAACTCCAGACTAGAAATTTTCTCTGAGGGATAAACTCTAGAGACGGTTGGGGGTGGGAGTGAGGAGGACACTAAGACTCATGGAAAGCTGAATCAATCAGGCAGTGGAGTTCGAGGAATGGCAGGTGCATTAACAACTGACTCAGGGCCTGGGGGGTCGCGAAACTGATCGTAACAAGGGTCCATTAAGTTGGAGGCAGCTGGGTGGATGCAGAGCCTGGTGCGAGGGTCACTCCTGTCTAGTCCGCATGTCTGCTTACCAGCTGCGCGCTCAGCCCCTGCTCTCTCCCACTATTACTACCCTGTAATCAGGATCCCGAACTACCTGAGGGGAATGCGTAACAGAACAGAGCAACTACCAGGCCTAACGGGGCTGCAGGTTTCCTTCACCCAAAGCAGCCAAGTTGGCTTCCCGCCCACCCTCAGAGCCGCCGCTTCTCACCAGCCACCAGGCGCAGGCCGCGGAGGCTCCCCATGGCCGCCTACTCCGCCGACCAGCACAGTGCCCCAAAGCCAGCGGTGGCGCGGGCGAGCTCAATGTCACCCAGCGCCGGGAAAGTGAGGACGAGAGCACCGGTGGTGGGCGGGGCTTGTGGAAGGTGAGGGCAGAGCCGGAGCGCCGAGCGTGGCAGGGTGGCGGGCGGGGCGTGAGTGACGTAAGAGTGATGGCCGGCCCCCCTGTGGGCGGGGCCTGCGCGACGCGTGGAACGTGCGGGTCGTGCGTAGCGCTCAGACCGTGCGGGTAGCGGCCTCGCCCCGCCCCACACGGGCCAGCGTGTTGGCGGAGGCATTAAGAATGCTCTTTTGGAGTCTTGGTTTCTAGTGCCATTGCAAAGCATTCTCTGCACCAAAGAAAGTACCCGTTTAAAATAGAAAAAAGTAAATGCTTATTGTAGGACTTCTGTGAACTGTAGACCCCGAAGTCACACTGCCTAGATAAACCAGTATTTCAGTACAGTTTTTTCAGTGAATATGTACATGCCTTTCTCAAAACTACATAGCTGGGTTCTTAGTGACCAGTGGCCTTGGTCTCTTGTTGGCTTTGGGAGTATCAGGCCACCTGAGAAATTCACATGAAAGTGAAAGTTGCACAGCCGTGTCCGACTCTGTGATCCCATGGACGGTAGCCCGCCAGCCTCCTCTGCCCTTGGAATTCTCCAGCGAAGAGTACTGGAGTGGTTTCCCATTTCCTTCTCCATTTTCTTCTTCACATACGTGTTTCCTATTTTGTTTTCTATTTGCCTATTTTTATAAAACAACATTTTACTATTTCCACACCTGAACACCTTATTCACCTCTTACCCCATACTGCCAGAAGTGTCTTTTTTGACATTTCTTGCTGGACTCAAATTCTTAAAGAACAAAATCCCCTCTGCTTTAGGGACGAGATAGGAGAGTTAAGAAAAATCTTACTTCTACGTAAGAGTTCTTCCTCGAATCATCTGATCGGTGGGGCCATTAAACTGTCGCCCTTTTTGTAAGAAAATGGGATTGGAGCAAAACGATCCCTTCAAGTTCTGACATTTTTTTATCTATGCGCTGGGGCCAGTTCCAGGAGGACAGGTTAAACGCGTAAGAGTGAAAAGAAGGATAGCAGCGTTACGGGTTTCAGGGTGGATGAGGATAAGCGGAAAAGACAAACCTTGAACTCAGCTTTCTTGCTGAGATTTCCCCCTCAATATTATTTGTTAGGCGGCGCCGCGGACACCTTTGCTCCGCGGTGATTGGCTCGGGGCGGGGACCTCGTGTTTGTCCAATATGGCGGCGCCCAGTGGCGGTGTGAACTGTGAGGAGTTCGCCGAGTTCCAGGTGATGGGGTTTTCCTCACGTGGCAGGCGTATCCCTCCTTTTGTCCCCGGACCCTGTTCCCTGCTCTGGCCTGGGAGGGATATGCGGACTAGTTGTGGCTGAAGCGAGCAGTTCAAGACTCCTTTTTCGAGCCATTGGAGGTCATGGGGGCGCGAGGTTGGCCTTAGGGAAAGAAGCTGCTGCGTTAGGGTCATGGTTGTCCCTGCCCCTCCCAGTCCTTGAGTAACTGCACCCAGAAACTCGCGTGGTTCTGCGGTGGCAAAGCCGAGCTCGGCCGGGTGGGTAGGGACTGTAACAACCTTCTAGCCATTCTTTGAACTCAGTTCTTAGCGTCTGTCATTCCCCTCCTACTTTAAGCTGAGCATTTGCAAGAAAGAAAAAAGTGAAGGAGAGCTTGTTTACTTGATAAAACAAAAAAACTTGTTTTACTATTTTGATGGGGTAGAACTTTTGGTGTCTTGGAGGGGCAATTAATTCTAGTACCTGCAATGGTGCTCTGCCTTACTAACCATTAGAGAAAATACATTTAAGAAAAAGGTTGTATCTTTTATATATTAAAACACCAGAGGTCCGGGCTAATTATTAACACACGAATTAAAGAACAAGGGGTCTAGATTTTTGACCAAGTTGCTATGAAAGTTCTATACTGTAGTCATAAATCTGCTGCTGTCTTGATAAACAGTTGAATTTAAGTCATGAAAAGGGTATTTTAAACTTGAGATATTGAAAAATCTGTTTATGTATCATTGACCTCTGTAGTAAGCTTTGTTCTTGGAGCCGTTTTTAGGGAGTGATGTTCTTGAAGGTACTCTCAACAGATTGAATTATTTGACAAACATCATTTGACCAAAGAAGTTTGTGTGGGGTCTTTCCACCATTGTATACATCCTTTTCACCATTGAAGCTGCACAGATTAGATCAGCACAACAGCAACAGACTTCAAATGTGATCAGAGTGCCCCAGAGATACAAATATTTGTAAAAATCTTAAATAAGATAGAAAAAAGACTTGGATTCTAACATATATGAAATGTTTAAGATTAACTGGCACATTTGTGGCCTTGGTCTTATCATATTAGTCCTGTGATCTAACTTAATAAGCTCAAATAATTGAGCAATGCTAGCCTTCAAGTTTGTGAGAAAGAGCCCTGGTTAGGGAATTAAATGTTTCAGGTTCTAGTGCTACTTCTGCAATTAACAGCTTTGGGACCTTCAGCAAATTGCTTAACTCCTTCCATAATTAACTTTTGAATCTGTAAAATAAGATAATGTTAAATAACATTTAAAACTGCTTTCACCTCTGTGTTTATTTGAATCTCTAAAACCAAATTTCTGAGGATTTCTTTGAGCTGTTGAAACATCCAACAGTGCTTGAAGAACACTTTTGATTTTCCTTTGGGCAGTCAGATAAGATGTGGGGCAGAAGCTTAACTGTCTTGGAGAACCATTTTATTCACAGAGATGATATAAATAATGTAATTAAATGAATCTCATTAATGAAACCTGGAGAAGTTTTTAGATTGTTTTTCTATCACTTTTTCAAATGTGTGATTTATAATGGAGAATTTGTTGTTCAGTTGCTAAGTCGTATCCAACTCTTTGCAAATAATGGAGAATACCCTTGGTTAAAAGTCAGAAGATCCGGTTTTCCAGATCTGGTCTTGGCATATCATTTTACCTCATAGTGGATGAATATAAGAACATTTGGGGGAAGGCGGGAGAGGAGAAGCCTGAGAAGCCGCAGCGAGCTGGAGCCGCCGGAGGACCTGAAGAAGAAGCAGAAAAACCTGTGAAAACTAAGACTGTTTCTTCCAGTAATGGAGGGGAAAATTCCAGTCGCAGCGCTGAGAAGTGATCAGGTGAAGATGAAACTGCAGACCTCCCAACAAAGCCTACAAAGATCTCCAAGTTTGGATTTGCCATAGGTAGTCAGACGACAAAGAAAGCCTCAGCTATATCCATCAAACTTGGCTCAAGTAAGCCTAAAGAACCGGTTCCAACTCTTGCTCCAAAAACCCTTTCAGTAGCAGCAGCTTTTAATGAAGATGAAGATAGTGAACCCGAGGAAATGCCTCCAGAAGCAAAGATGAGGATGAAGAATATTGGAAGGGATACACCAACATCAGCAGGACCAAATTCCTTCAATAAAGGAAAGCATGGGTTTTCTGATAACCAGAAGCTATGGGAGCGAAATATAAAATCTCATCTTGGAAATGTCCATGACCAAGACAATTAAATGATGTATTTTGAAATTGGGGTGTGGGGTGGATGTAAAGTTAAAAGGAACAGTTTCCTTTTTTAAGGAATGGTATAAGACTATCTTTGGAGCCACCTTTTTTTTCTTTTTCTTTTTTTAAATATTGAGTGGTACACTAATAAATGAGAATTTGAAATTAGAAGTAATTTATGTTTTATATACAGATTTTTAGACATTTACTGATTTTGTAGTTTCATGTGATTAGTTTCCAAAGGTTACAGATACTAAAAAAATCAGAAATGGTAACTTTCTAAGAATTGCATATTTTTTTAGACACAACTATTAGCACATTAGGAGGGAAGCAAAAAGTTGTCTATTTAAACTGTAGGCCGTTACTCTCTAACTTAACTCCCTTATTAACCTAAACTTGTCTGGCTCCCAGGAACAGCCTTATAGAGAAGGGAGTATTGTATTGGGAGGAAAATGTTACTGGACTATTGACTGAGAAAGTAAATTAGATAAAATACAGCTTTTTTTCTTCCCTAATGGGCATTTGTTTAGTTTCAAATCATCATTAACTAGTTATTGCATTGCTATCAGTGGATACAGATGCTTAGCTCTTTAGAAAGAACATTTTAAAATTTTACATAAACTGTTGAGTATTTAAAATAGCCCACTTCACTTTAAAGGGTTTTGTCTACCTTCATTAGTCTTCAAAGAACAACCATTTGCTACCAAAGTAAATCAGTATTTTGAATGTGCTTCTCTTGATTTTTGTTATTAGCTAGTTCCTGTAAGCATTTCCACCAGATCTTGAGGCAAATCATAAGGAAGCTGTTTCTTTTAAAATAACAAACCACCACCAAAAATTTAAATGTACATAATAGTTAAATGTTTGGCTGTTGTTATTTTTTAAAGGGTATAAACACCAAAAAAAGGGGGGGGCAACAATGTATGAAGATGGAAGATAAGAAAGATGCACTTTCTGTAACTTTATCAAAGCATTTATGTTACTAACTTGTGAAATCCAATTTGATTTGAACTTATTAACAGGAATTCTTATTTAGCACAAAAATATGGTTTACTTTAACTGTATACTTGCTAACCAGTGGCCTCTCAAAAGCACATTTTAGATACTGAAAATGAAAGAAAATGCATCTTTAAACATATTTTATGGAATCTTCGCCCACATATACTTTGTTAATCTATGTGTTGTAGGATTGTGTTTATTTTGTATTTTTGTATTGTATATGAATTCTTTTTTAATGTGACAGTTAAACACATCTTTTAAAGCATAGACACACATAGAAGAAACATACAGTATAATGATTTTCCTTGAAAACTACAATGTTAGATTTTGGAGGCAGCTTCAGACTGATTGGTGGTAACTACTTGCTCTGAGCTCTTTTAATAAGTAATAACTCCAGAGAAGCAGCCTGTATATATTCCTAATACTTTGTTCACTTGCATTTGAGTTTAGAAGCCCCAAGTAAAACAATGGAAATGTATATAGAACTATTAGTTCTTACTTACATGATTTAATTATATCAAGATACA